TTTATATTTTTTATGACAGCCACCATTTAAATGTTTATATTTAAAAAAAAAAAAATGAATTGAAGTAAAAATATCATTATACAATTTAATTGTAATTTTTATTATAAAAACTTCAATAAGTGTAATTTAAGAAGTTGTATAGCCTAAAAAATCTGTCAGTTTTAACCTTCAATATTATAGTAATGTAGTACCAACTGACTCTCATGTATAACAGTATTCAAACAACAAATGCCGTTTTGGCGCTGTTTAATGTGAAGTGACAGATCGCTGTAGCGCCTCAGTTCAACAGACGCAGCAGCGCGAGGCGCACGTGAACTGATCATCTCCTCCACATTAATACCAGTTTCAGCACAAAATAAACATGACTAAACATCCGAAGGTAAGTTAAAAGAAAGAGTACAACTTTACAATCCGTATCATGTTTCATGTAATCGCTCAATCAGTGTTTCAGCCGTGCAAAGACGTCAATATAATGGTGTGTAAACAATGTCATTAACGTCACATTTACCTTAGAACAAACATATTCGGTGACCTTAAACTCATTAGTCAGCTAGAAAAATAAACTGTATAGAGGGGCATTTTGCTAAATATATGCACCATATAATATATTAATTATAACTTTTACTCTTCAATGTTTAATTTATATTTTTTATGACAGCCACCATTTAAAGTCAGTCTCACTAGGCCTGCCCTGTTTTGATTCTCATGCAGTGTGACGTCACATTGTATAGGGCGGGGCCACGGGGGTTGATTGACAGCCCTGCATTGTTATTGGGCGAATTCCAAACGGCTTGTTTGCGCCCTTGAAGGGCACTTCGGGAAGGGGACGCCATTTGTAGGGACGTTCCAAACGAAAGTGAACAACTGAATCCCTTCACGAAGGGCCCTTCCAGAAGTCCGTTAGCTAAGGGAACATGCAATGGTCACTTCACGGAAGTGATTTCCGTATGTGCTCATGTGACCTTCAGTTAGGAGATCTTGCGACGCAATTTAAAGCAAAGTTGTGGTTGATTTCGACACAAACGTAAGTAGAATAAGCCAATTAAATTTTTATTTTAATGTAATTAAATCTTTAAATAAAAATATTAAATCTTTATTTTAATGTAATACAAACAATTTTTCGTCAGAAAAAGGTAGGGTAAGCAATTTTTCGTTAAGAAGGTAGTGTAAGCAAGTTTAAGCAAGTTTAGTTTGAAAAAGCTGAATAGTAAATAAGACACAATTAGATAATATTTGAATAAAATAATAATAATGAGAAGAAATATATATTTGAAACAACTGGTGGAGTGCTGAATGCTGCATGCACGCGCAGCCTTGTCAAGGTAACATTTGGTCAGTCATTCCCTTCGCCAAGGGAGTTCCAAACGCTTTTATGAGACAGTAAATCCCTACACCCTTCAAAGAACACACTTCAAGGGCTCTGCCCTTCGAAGGGAGTAGGGCATGCTCACTTCCGTTTGGAATTCGCCCATAGTTTCCGCCTTCAGCGGTACGCTGTCCTCCATTTTCTCCGCGCTCGAGCAGCTGTAACGTTAACAATGTCTTGCAAGCAATCCCGATTCTCTGTGTTTGGATGTAAGACTGAAAATAAGAGTCTTCATTTTCTCCCAACATCTGAGCTGCTAAGGACGCTGTGGGTTAAGGTAATGCGCCTCAAAATATACCTAAACCAGACTCCTTTGTGAATGTCATGTCGTTATAGTGCTTAGCGTTTTAACCGTATTTGTGTGCGTACATTAAGTATTTTTTTAACTGATCAGCGCCGCGCTTGTGAGATTAGTTTGCGTCATTCGTAGCGCGAGATTCATTCGGTAGCGCGGTCGCGCGGCTCGGTCAATTGATACGTGCCGATGACAGGTCAGCGTGGCGCAAGCTCTGTAACATCGCGCTTTTTCGTCCCACTTTCAGTGCATTTGGCTTCCCATATGTACGGCTAAACACCGGTTCTCTCGCTCTCAGTCATGCTGCTTCTACCGGCTGTTTATTGTTGTAGATATGCAATGCAGAGAGACGTATACACGATGCCCTCTTCTGGAGATGGGGCGGGAATATGCAGCTCATTTGCATTTAAAGCGATACACTCCAAATCAGCTCTTTTTTAGACACACCCCAAAAATGACATATTCTAGCTGTTATAATAAATGATCTGTTGGTTATTTTGGGCTGAAACTTCACAGACACATTCTGGGGACACCCAAGACCAATATTACATCTTGTAAAAAGGGGCATAATAGGTGTCCTTTAAGCAATTTTTTTCCCTTTGAGAAAATGTTGCATGTGTACCTGATATATATCCGAAATAATCGATATTGAATTGAATCGAATCGAACTGGGAATCGAATCGAATCGCAAGCTTGTGAATGAGAATCAAATTGAATCTTGAAATTTGTGTCAAAACCCAGCCCTAGTAAAAATGATTATTTTCAACCCTCATTCTGACCCTCTGTCTAAAATGACCTGTTTTAAGGGGCGTGTCCTTTAAGGCTTGTCAGGAATCGGCAACTGTTATGATTGGATAACGTCATTGCATAGGAAACAGTATCAACGCCAAAAACTAATACAAATCCTGCCACACCATAGAGTGCCACTCACATAGTTTTCCATAAAATCACATTATATTTTTCCGGAATTATTGTAAATGTACATAATGACTTCATCCTAGGCTTGAAGATTGTGTGCTGTGCATCTTTCAGCGCAATGTTTGTCTTTATGTCAGTATGCTTTATATACAGAGCTAATAATAGCCATAGATCGCACTTTCTCTTTCCGTTTGCTCTGTTTTGTCAAACACCGTACTTCAAACTAATTCAAACTTTGTTCATTCCTGAAGTTAACTTTTCTATTAACTGTTTTGGACTGCTGTCTTAACTGGGTGCGATACGTGTCAGCTGTAGACGCAGCTTCTTCTCTGGTGTGCGACACGTTCTTACTCTGCCTATCATGTATTAAATGTGCGTCCTTGAAAGCACAGTTTTCTGACATATTTACTTCAACTTCTTAGGTGACTAATATCAATAGTATGACATATTTCAGATGCGTCCGAAATTACAAAAACATATAGGCTATTTATATATTTAATTGTTTGATCAAAATTATTGCTAGGGACAATTTGGTAGTTGCTGGATATTGGTAGGGACATGTCCCCTGGCATCCCCCCCTAATTCTAGGCTTTTGATCCTCTGACACGATCCGGGATGCCATTAAAAATAACCTATCCACTTGTTCCTTACACTGGGATCCTTCTGATATCTGTACAAAGACGTGAACAAACTGTTTAAACCAAAGCTCATCGGTCTGAAAAGCGAGGTGTGCTGTGATTGGCCAGCTATCCAGTGCGTTGTGATTGGCCGAATACCTCAAGCGTGTGACAGAAATGTTACGCCCCTTAACATACTGTGATGCCCTGTCCGGCGACGATAAAAAAACATTAAAACCCATTATAAACGAGGCATTTGTTGCATCCAGTGGGGACATAATTACGGATTATAATGATTTATACTGTCTTTTTACGCGTTGTAAACCATGTCTGCATTAGTGATCGGAGAAATGACAAACAAACGCTACTCTACACTGCTCAAAACTCGCGTTTGAATCATCAGTGGCAAATCCTTTACATGAAAACGTACTTACAGTCTGTGAGTCAGAACAGCCGGCATTGTAGTCTACTCTCCATAAAATGTGCGGCACACAAATGAATATTTGGGTTGAACTGTTCTGGAACAGTTGTAAATACAACTTAACCACTGATTTCTAGTCGCGTCCATTTTTGGAAGACCAAACAAAGTAGTTACGCTTTCACAACGAAGCACACAGCGTCTTCACGACATGGCGGCAGCAACAATACTACAGCGAGAATAAAAGTTACGC